GTTTGGAAACTTATATATTGTAGTTCTTGTCAATCATTTATATATAATTAATCCTATTGTTCATATAAAGTTAATGTTTTAATTCTTTTATAGATTTATTATCGATCTACCAATCGCTTATAATAAATTCCTTACCTTGATGTCGGATGCATCATTATTTCACCAATGATTTATCTATACGATGTTTTTTCGTTTGGTTACTTCTGAAGAAAACTCAATCCATGAGTCGAAACACGTAAAGTTTGATTAAGCCTTTTTTTATTTTTGTATTAAGTTCGTTCTTGTTTTTTCATATTTATGTATATATTTTTATATCTTCGTATTTAGTCTTGTTTTTCATGTTAATTTATATTAATTTATTTTATCTTTTTACTATGTGATTAAAGAAATTTTTAATGTTTGACTCTTAATTTGTCTTTTTAATTTCTATTTATGTTTAAAATACAATAATAAAGATAAGAAACATTTTCACGAGAATTAAAGTATTTAGTGTGTATATATTCGTGTATATGTATGTGCGAGTGAATTGTATCTCAATCACAATATAATAACGTCATAATAAAATTATATATGGATGTAACATTTTGTATAAAAGAGATTAGAAACTACGAGAGTTAAAATATGCAATCGGTATGTATATTCGCGGACAGTATATGCGAGTGAAATACATAAAAAGAGAAAAGTAAGCTGTATTTATTAAATGTAGCAATTAGAAAATGTTTACTATAATTTTTAAATTATCATTACCCTTACATATATTTGTATTAATTATTACAGCTTTTAGATACTTTTCATTGTTTTTCTTATTCGCTCTAGCAGCGCGAAGTGTTTTTACATAAAAAATTTTTCTATTTAAATAAACTTTTTCATTTTGTTTTTAAAACTTAATTGTGATATAATTTTTTTAAAGAAGAATTAAATCACTTGGTTTCGAATAGGAAGATCTTTTAATAAGAATACAAAGGCATGTACTTAGGTTTCATTGTATGAAGATAAAGATAATTCCTTTTAGGTTTTACTTTTTAATTTAGTGGAATTTAAATAATAGTACTATATGGGTTCTTAAAGATTAAAGGTACCACTTGTGTTTTACTTTTTAATTTGGTAGAATTTAACTTGGCGCCGACTGTTGATATCAAATCTTGTATAAAAATGACAAATGTCATTAAAATTAAGTAAGTAATAAGGTAGAATAACTTGGCGCCGACTATTGATATCAAATCTTTTATACAAATGATACATGTCATTAGAATTAAGTAAATAAGGATAATATCACGTAGGTTTTTAAAGATGGTTCTACTAAACAGCAAATGTGATTGGTCAGTTTCACAGTCGATTAAGTAATTGACGTTGGTGAAACTGGCTGTTCGAGTATATTTTATATTTTTTAGTTTTAAGTAAAAAAGACCACAGATTTTGTTAAATATTAAATTTGGCGCTGGATATGTGTAGGATCGATAGCACTGCGATCTTCTTTGCCGACTTGGCAGTTCGCTAGTTGCGTGCAGTGTAGTGTGTTGTATATGGCGAAGAAGCGTAACGTACGAAAAATTGTGAACAAAGAACCTTGTACCAGAAATTCATTATACTCATTAAAGGATTAATCATCCTACGAGATACAGTCCACTCATTTATCCAAGGAAATAAACAACAACAAAAAAACTTGTGCATAACACCGGCTCTCACAGGGAGAGCACTTAACATGGTCCTTCGAGCCGGATACAGGCTCGCGTGCAAAACGTTCAACGGAATTTTTGACTACAAGGGACAAAAATAATTCAGAGGATCATTTTGTCAGCGTTATTGTAAGAGGCATTCGAATAGCGCATTTCATTATTACGACTGCAGTTAAAGTCGAGATTAAGTATTGGTAAGACGCAAGGATATATAGCCGACGCAAAGACGCGTTCGGACAAAGGTATGACGTATAGTTATAAGTGACGCCATTTGCATTGTGGTAATATTTCTCGCTTCTTAATAGGCAAAGAGAACGTGATCGCGTAAGCATATTGCGAATCGGTGAATTTGGTGGCGTATAAGTCAGCGCGTGATTGCACGCAATAAAGATATCCTGTCGTTACGAAAGCGTTTGTAGGTTAAACATTAAGAATACATTTTGGTAAATTGAATAGTACGAATCGCGATGACCGACAACGCAGGCGGTAGCTCGGGCGCGACAGACGAGCAAGTCAGATCGTGGAAAAGAAGGCGCGCGCAAATAAAGGCTCAATGCACGAGGTTCGGCTCATATTTAGAAGGCGTGGATCTCGAACAAACGTCAGTGTCAGAGCTGCGTCAGAGATTAAACAAGGTCAAAGAAACTTGGGGTAATTTCAGTTCGGTGCAAGCGGCAATTGAGGAGATTGAGAACGCACCGGAGCATGTTGACAATCACAATGAAGAAAGAAATATATTCGAGGACAGATATTTCTCTATCGCAGCTGGGTTGGAAACTTTAATCGAGAGAAAGTTGACAGCTCAGTCTCCTAATTTAGCGCAGGTTACACGAGGCTCGAGGGGTGGAACGCCATTCGCACAAGAAAGTAGCGTTGCCACTGAGCATTTAAAATTACCACGAGTTAATCTTCCTACGTTTTCAGGTGCGTTCGAAGAATGGATTCCATTCAGGAATATGTTCCAAAGCATGATTGATAGCAACACAGCATTGCCAGAGGTGCAGAAAATGCAATATTTGATATCGGCCTTGAAAGGGGAGGCGCGAGATGTCATTGGATCTCTAGAGGTTTCGGACGAAAATTATGTCGAGGCATGGGAGATGCTCAAAGAAAGATACGATGATTCTGGTTGGATAATACAAAAGCACATCAAGGCGCTATTCGAGATTTCGGTTATTCCCAAAGAGAATCATCTGTTAATAAGGCGTTTATTAGACGACGTCCTAAAGCATTTACGGGCGCTAAAAGCCTTGAAGAGGCCCACCGAACATTGGGACGATCTAATAGTTTATTTAGTAACCAGTCGACTAGATCAAAAAACAAGTAGAGCCTGGGAGGTTACAGTCAAGAAAGGAGAAGTGCCAACGCTTAAGCAGCTAACTGACTTCCTCGCTCAGCATAGTAAGGCGCTGGAAGCTTCCAGTCGAATGATTCGACCAACGGTTTCAGCAAGCCATGATAAAGGCGGTAGCAGTAAAGCCGCCGCGGTAAATCTGGCTATTGATAATAATAAGTGCGCCTTTTGCTTAAAGGAAGGCCACGTCATATATAAGTGTTATGAATATTTGAAATTAGAGGTTAACGAAAGAGTCAAGGAAGCAAGGTCTCGAAAGTTATGCCTAAATTGCTTGAGGGATACATCGCATTTGGCCAAGCAGTGTACCCTGGGCCCATGTCGTAAGTGCAAGAAGAGACACAACACGGTGCTCCATTGGGAACAGACCCCATCAAAGAATTCTGTAGCGGTCCCAAGCGAGTCAAGTACGAATGCTCAAGAAAAGGTAGTAGCAACGATAGTAAGTGATGCAAATGCAACCAGAATAAACAAGCAAGTACTTTTGGCGACTGCAATCGTTAAGGTTATGGACATCAAGGGTAATGCGGTTCTTTGTCGAGCATTACTGGATAGCGGGTCACAGTCCTGCTTTGTGACTAATGATTGTGCTAGAAAGCTAGCGCTTAGGCAATATTCTACAAACATACCGATCTGCGGACTAGGAGGAATGTCAACCGAGACGAGAAAAGCAGCTCGAATATCGATATCCTCAAGGATTAATAATTTTCAAGTGAATCTGAACTTTCTGGTGGTGAAGAATATTACTCAAGCTTTACCCACAAACTCAATTCAAATGAACGAAGTGCAAATTCCGAAGGGGATTGAATTGGCTGACCCCGAATTTCACAAGGCTTCAAAAGTTGACATGCTATTAGGGGCAGAAATATTTCTAGAATTGTTGTGCATCGGAAGAATTAAGTTAGCTCCGGCGCAACCGACATGGCAAAAAACCCTATTTGGCTGGGTGGTGTCTGGTAATCTGCTGACTCCTGATAGCAAGCAGAATGGAACAACATGTAATTTGGTAACCAACGAACAGTTGAATTTAAGTCTTAAGCGATTTTGGCAATTGGAAAGCAATGAACGTAAAGATACTCGTTCACCAGAAGAGCGTGTTTGCGAAGAGCAATTTATTAAAACATACAGAAGAAATGATGAAGGGCGATTTATCGTCTCTTTACCAACAAAGGACGAGCGTCTACGAAAACTGGGAGATTCACGTGATATCGCTATCCGGCGATTTAAAAACTTGGAGAGAAGATTTGAGAAGCAGCCAAGTTTAAAAGAAGAATACTCGAAGTTCATTCACGAATACATCGAGCTGAATCACATGAAGGAGATCCAACGGCACAGCATGCGTTGAGATCAGCAGCCGCAGTTTTATTTACCGCATCATTGCGTAATCAAAGAGGAGAGCACGACCACAAAATTAAGAGTGGTCTTCGATGCGTCAAGCAGAGGATCTGAAGGAGTGTCGCTGAATGACGCACTAATGACGGGTCCTGTCTTGCAGGAGGATATCTCCTCAAGACTAATGAGATTCCAAACTTTCAAGTATGCTATAACGGCGGACATAGCAAAAATGTACCGTCAAATACTCGTCAACGAAAATCAAACAGCGTTGCAGCGCATTGTGTGGCGAGACAGCGCAATGGAAGAAATTAAGACGTATGAGTTGCTAACTCTTACATACGGAACTGCCCCGGCTTCGTTTTTAGCCACGAAAGTCATTCATCAATTGGCTGAGCTAAGAGAAAATCAATATCCGCTAGGATCGACAATCGCGCGAAGGGATTTTTATATGGACGACTTGTTGACAGGCGCAAATACAAAGGAAGAGGCGCTCTTAATTCGGAACCAAGTGGCAGCATTATTGCGAGAAGGAGGATTCGTTCTCCGAAAATGGGCTTCCAACAATTCGGATTTAATCAGAGACATTCCAGGTAGTGTAAGCGAGGACATCATTTTAGAATTGAATAAAGAGCATTCTGCCAAAACGTTGGGCATTAAATGGCATCGTCTGAAAGACATATTTCAATATTCGATCAAGGCGGCCGGCTCCGTGATTTGTACCAAAAGGATGATGTTGTCAAATATATCGCAGATATTTGACCCGCTCGGTCTGCTGGCACCTATAATTTTGGTGGCCAAGTTGTGGATACAGGAAGTCTGAAAATTACAATTAGAATGCGTGCCCACAGATATTCATACGAAGTGGCTCAATTATATATCAGATATGCAGTCCTTAAAAAACTTTTCGGTGCAGAGGCATATTCTAGGAGACGATGTGGAAGCAGGGATCCAGCTTCACGGATTTTGCGATGCCAGCGAAAAGGCCTACGGAGCTTGCATTTACGTAAGAAGTTTGGATAAAAATGGCATGGTGCAAGTTCATCTACTATGTGCGAAGACTAGAATAGCACCTCTCAAGGCAGTATCAATCCCAAGATTAGAGTTATGTGGGGCGCAACTATTAGCTCAGTTGATGAGTAAAGTTAAAGCATCATTGGATGTCAAGATAAATAGTATACATTGTTGGACGGACGCGTCGATTGTTCTTCATTGGATCAAGGCCACCAATAAGAAGCTTCCGGTGTTCGTGGCACATCGAGTGGGAGAGATACACGAATTAACATCGGTGGATGCCTGGAATCACGTAGGGACAAGAGATAACCCGGCAGGGGTTAAAGAACTGCAAGGCGCGCGGTTATGGTGGAACGGGCCTGAATGGCTAAAGGATCAAGCGCAGATCGACACTCGATTGAGTTGGGAAGATCATAAAGAAATGCAAACTATGCAATCAATGGAGCCAGTCATGCTGTTGACGGCTAAACATCCAGAATTGAGTCTCGTGGATAGATTTTCCACATTGCAGAGGTTAACACGAGTTACGGCGACGTGCATAAAATTTGTTCGACTTTGTAAAAGATCGGAGGGTGTAAAGGCCACGCAACCATTAGCTGCCGAGAAGTTGGAATATGCGGCAAAATGCATAATTAAAGCAGAACAGCTATCGGCTTTTGAGTCAGAACTTAGTGCATTGCGCAAAGGCAGTTAGCAGTAGTCTAAGACATTTGAATCCTCTAGTAGATGATGAGGGCATATTGTGCGTTGGTGGCAGGTTGAAACGCGCTGACTTATCTTACGGCACTAAGCATCCGATAGTACTACCTCAGTGCTCGAAATTTACAAAGTTGATTATATTACATGAGCACATAAGACATGATCACGCGGGTGCGGAGGCTACGCTAGCTGCGGTTAGAAGAGCATATTGGCCGATTAAGGGAAGAAGTATTACCAAGAAATTAATACGCGAATGCGTCAAGTGTTTTAGGTATAGACCGCGCATTACTGAGCCCATGATGGGTGACTTACCTAGTAGTAGGGTAAATCTTTCAAAACCATTTTCGAATACTGGGGTGGATTTTTGCGGTCCTATATATATACGCGAGGGCAGGAGACGAGGAGCTAAGCGTATTAAGGCTTATGTAGCAATTTTTGTTTGTATGACTGTTAAAGCAGTTCATTTTGAGGTTGTTTCAGATTTATCCACGGATGCGTTTCTTAATGCATTTAAAAGGTTTATTGCTCGCAGAGGAAAACCTACGAATATGTATTCTGATAATGGTACTAATTTCATTGGAGCAAACGCTGCGTTAGAGAAGGATAAAAGCATTTTTCATTCAGAGCAATCCAGAAGGAGTATTATAGACCATGTATCTCCTGAAGGAATCAAATGGCATTTCATGCCACTCAGAGCTCCCCATTTTGGAGGTTTATGGGAGTCCACGGTCAAGTCTTTCAAAAATCACTTTTACAAGATGACTACTGAAGCGGCAATGACGTTCGACGAGGCGTCTACTCTCGTGGTCCAAATAGAGGCGATATTAAATTCGCGTCCACTGACTGCCTTATCTGAAGATCCTAATGATGTTAGTTATTTGTTCCCAGGTCATTTTTTAATAGGTGACACATTAACATCGTATCCTGAGCCAGACATTACCGAGACAAAGGTTAATCGGTTGTCCCGATGGCAAATGTTGGAGAAAATAAGGCAGGATTTTTGAAAGAAATGGTCTTCCGAATATTTACTTAATCTGCAGCGGCGCAATAAATGGATGTCGAATGCTGGCCAGCAGATAAAAGTCGGCCAATTGGTCTTGTGTCGAGAGGAAAATTTACCTCCGTTGAAATGGGCCCTTGGGCGAATACAAGAGGTGATGCCGGGCGATGATAGAATAGTAAGAACAGCGATAGTTAAGACCGCCAATGGAGAATATAAAAGGCCAGCTGTGAAATTATGCGTGCTGCCAATAAACGATTACGAGGCCGATGCGGAAAATGTTTAGATGCTATGTTTATTATCAGATATTAGTTTATAAGTTCATTAATATGTATTAGCGTTGCGATTTAGTTAAGTTACAATTCGCATTGTTGATAACCACGGGTCATCAAGGCGCGCGGCATGTTCGAGTATATTTTATATTTTTTAGTTTTAAGTAAAAAAGACCACAGATTTTGTTAAATATTAAATTTGGCGCTGGATATGTGTAGGATCGATAGCACTGCGATCTTCTTTGCCGACTTGGCAGTTCGCTAGTTGCGTGCAGTGTAGTGTGTTGTATATGGCGAAGAAGCGTAACGTACGAAAAATTGTGAACAAAGAACCTTGTACCAGAAATTCATTATACTCATTAAAGGATTAATCATCCTACGGGATACAGTCCACTCATTTATCCAAGGAAATAAACAACAACAAAAAACTTGTGCATAGCACCGGCTCTCACAGGGAGAGCACTTAACACTGGCCAAAATGGTTTTTTGACCAGCAGCACCCACTCTTAGCGCTTTTTTCTACCTTTTTTTTTTTAAAAGGTAAGTTTATATATACATACAAAAGATACATGTCATTAGAATTAAATAAGTATATAAGGATGGTACCTCTTAGATCTTTAGAGATAGAATTTTTAAAGGTTAGTTAATTAAACGATATATTTTATGGGAAAAATCCATATTATATGACAGGATAGTGAAATAAAAGATGGGAGGATGTGCAATGTTAGAATTTAACTTGGCGTACAAATGATACGTGTCATTAGATTTAAGAAAATAATAAGATAAAAAAAACAATAGTTCCCTTCTCTTTTTCTTCAATAATACCCAACAGTTCCGAACTTTCTAATTTGACTAAGTCTAACTGGAACATGTACTTGAATACCTCATTATGTATGCCAAGGTTTTTTATATAGATATTGATTTCTATTTCATTATCTTTCAGTAATAAAATGTATTACGTTAAAATAGACAATTTGGTATAAGAACTCTATTAAAATTAATACTGATCTTTTGTGATTCGTCTTTGAAATATAAAAAACTGTTATTTTCATCTCTCACCTAGAACACTATATTTAATTCAAGATTGTGGAGCACATAAGAATTCTTTTGAAAATAATACTCATCTTTTGTGTTTCATTTTTGAAAAAGCTGTTATTTCGATCTCTAGGACACTATATTTGATTCAAGATAAAGCACATGTGTGTGAGTTATAGTTTTTAATCACATATATCTTCATAAAGTATACATTTTCAAAATATTATTCTAATTCATAATTAATATTGTGAAGAACGATTCTGTTAATCAATTTCGTAATAACATTATACCAAAACACTTATTACGTTTATTAGTGTATTTATTCCAATGTCAAAATATTACATACGTATAATCAAATATGCTAATAAACGTAATAAATTTTTTTGGTATAATCAGAACAATCCTTATCACGATATTAATTATTAATTAGAATAATAATTTGTAAACATATACTAATGAAAATATACGTGATTGAAAACTGGTTAACTTACACTCCAAAATCTCGAATCAAATATAGTGTTCTAGGTGAGAGATATCAAACTATAATAGTTTTTTGTATTATTATTGAAAGATAATGAAATGGAAATGAATATGTATATAAAAAATACTATTATACATATTACCATGAAAAATGACTCATATATTATTGAAGGTGCCATTTCAAAGTAAACATACATAAAGTGTATATTCTTTTGCAGCATATATACGTAATAATAATGATTTAATATTACTATTATAAATATCTAGTGTGCATGTGTTGTTAGATCATTATTACGTATATATGCAACAAATGGATATACATTTTATGAATGTTCACTTTGAACTGTCATCTTCAATGATATATCAGTTTGTTTTCTAACGTCAAAATTGTCGGTTGCATTATATTACCTTCAGAATTTAATGTACTTTTATTTAGGACAACATTATTGTCGACGAGCTTTGTATTAGTCACATCCAAGATTATAGCATTGGCATCAAGAACTTTCAATGTACTCGGATCTCTCTATTATCTTTATATTATTGTCGTTTTATGGTATTTCCTCCTCCCAATTGAATACCATTTTGATTAATTACTTTTAAATTGTGTACCTGCAAAATATATAAATAATTTAAAAATTAAATATAAAAATAAAAATAATTTAAATAATTTAAATCATTTTTTTCAAAAATTACGTTTATTGGCGTATTTGATTATATGTAGGTAATAGATTTTTTTGGTATAATGTTATTACGAAATTGATTATCAGAACAATCCTTCTTCACCATAATAATTATTAATTAGAATAATATTTGTAAATGTATACTTATATGAATATACACGTGATTGAAAACTACTTATAACTTACACTCCAAAATCTTGAATCAAATATTGTGTCCTAGGTGAGAGAATTAACTGTACAGTGTGTATATATATATAACAGTTTTTTTTAAAATAAATCATAAAAGATCAATATTAATTTTAAAAGAATTCTGATACCAAATTGTCTATTTTAACGTAATACATTTTATTATTGAAAGATAATGAAATGGTACATATTACCATGAAAAATGATTCATATATTATTGAAGGTGCCAGTTCAAAGTAAACATACATAAAGTATATATTCTTTTGTTGCATATTATACGTAATAATGATTTAACATTACTATTATAAACAACTAGTGTACATGTGTTGTTAAATCATTATTACGTATATATGCAACAAAGGATACACATTTTATGAATGTTCACTTTGAACTGACACCTTCAATAATAAGTTACTATCCATGATAATATATTTCAATTATTAGATAATTATTTAAAGTTTTAAGGATTTCAATATTAAAACCAAATAATTTTATGTTTTGAGTAACTGCATAAATAAGTTTTATCTTTATTATTATAAAAGAATTGATTCTTTGTACTGTATTTTACCTTCAGATTTATTGAAGGGAAAGTCCTGAAAAGAAAGGGGAGGAATCTTTATAATCCGTACCTTTTTTCTTTTCAGACTTTTCCTATCAACAAAGTACAAAAAGAATGAATTCTTTTATAATTATATAAGGAATAGAGAAGACAAATTAAGGTATCTACCAAACAAATAAATAACAGATCTGGAGACACGGTAGTGTCTCGGTAAATAAGTAACCTAACCAAAAGCTGTATAATTACCAAAGAAAATAATTACATAGAAAATAATTTGTATTCTTACAGCGGAATTACAGCAGAGAATCTGTGCAATAAAGAAGAAAATATCTAACCTCACTTACATGTTCGTCTATTCTATGCCATCCATGTGACAAATTTCCTAACCTCAATCCTTTGTACGTTATTGCCGAGACTCTTTATCTGACTTTAACGATCGTACAGATCGCAGCGGTTGATATTTATTCTAACCTCACTTACGTGTTCGTCTATGCCATCGATGTCACAGATTTCTCAACCTCAATCTTAATAATCCGACTTTAACGATCGTACAGATCGCAGCGATCGATATTATAGATTTATAGATACCCCTCGCGACCACATTTATCTCTTGCGCCAAAAATTCCAGAATGCATTTTCTCACTCCGTAGCTGGCAACAATGACGACAATGACTACGACGACGACGACGTTTCTTACAAACAAACCAATTTCCTCGACGGCGAACACCTTGACACTTACTTCCTCGAAGGCAAACACTTAGACACTTTCTTCCTCGTATGTAGAACTTGATCGGTTCAGCCGTTACTGAGATCTGATCATCTCGACCCCGAAATTTCTCCGTTTCGCGTAAAGGAGGCACGGCAGTGTCGCGCGCTTGGCTTAGCGCCGAGACACTACCGTGTCTCCAGATTATATTATATATTACAGTCAGTTTCAATTAAAAAGTTGCAACAGTTTTTTTCAAATGGTTTTCAGAATGTAACCTACTCATCGAGTAATTGATTCTTATTTATAAATAACACATTTCTTCTTATACCGGGGTATAGTCACCGGCTGAACGTGCTGCGCGACCGTGGTATCGCGTGCAATGCTAATACGCTACCGACGCGCGCGGGCTGCACAGTTTGCCGGGTCGGAAAAATTTCAAAAATCATTTTCTCGAGTAAGAAGCAAAACACGACTTTCAAAATTTTTTGTAACATGTAGTAAGGTTCAAAGTTTATGAATATAAATAATTGAAGAAATAAAGGACTCTTTTTATAAACAATAATTAATACGTTGAGAATGGCGAATAAGAGTCAATCTAAATCTGATAATATATTCTAATATTCTTCGCAATATAGAATATTAGAATATATTATCAGATTTAGATTGACTCTTATTCGCCATTCTCAACGTATTAATTTATGAATATATTTTTTTTATATTTTTCGATGATACGCTTGGTAGTTTAAAAAATGATTTAAAAATGTATTGTTAAATAAATAATAGATAAACAATGCTTTTTGCATTGAGTATAATTTCGTTTTAAACTATAGACATTTACTAACAACTTCTATGTTGCGCAGAAATTTTGTAGAGGTTCTTAAATAAGATTTAGAGAATTCGTTGTATCAAAACTATACGTATAATTATAGAGAACTCAGAATACAGTACAAAGAAATATGTGAATACAACGACTACGACACTGTCTCCATCTGAATACACTCAGTGTAGTAGTAAAGGTCTGTTCGTTACCATAGAATATAAACCATAGAGTATAAAGCAAAGTAAGTAAGTAATAGGAACAATCAAACATTAAAAAATGAAATATCTAACATAGAAACGTTACACAACATAAGAGGCGCTATATTCAACACTCCCACTCGCCGAGAATTTTGTGAAATATACTCCAAGTGACTTACGATTTTCCTCAAAAGGAACTCGTGGTTTCGGTTTTGTAAATAAATCTGCAAGTTGTTGATTGCTGCTTACATGCTTGACATCGATTGTTCCGTTTCTAATTAGTCCACGTGTATAGTGGAATTTTACATCTATATGTTTTGTCCTGCGATGAAATGTTGGATTTGTGAT